GAATACTTACATTTAAATACTTTATATATAGCAAGTTTAGTCTAACTGTATTTATTTCTTTAAATCTAAGTTAACATCACTTACAGATTCGATAGAAAAAATAATAAGTAGTGTAAAGGATGGAAAAATGACTTTTTTCCTCTTAGAAATTTTTCAACGACGAAAAATTTCTTTCATATATTGAAGAAATCATTTGATGATAATTTAAAGAAAATAGCTAAAAAAAGAAAGAAGAAACTATTAGTTCTTTTAGTCATTTCATTGTATGTTCTAGATAACTATTAACAGTTATTCATTGTAAATTATTAATTTGTTAAATGAAAACAAATATAATTTAAGAAATTTAGAAATGAAACCATTGCATGGTTTATAATTCTCCCGTTGAAAGCATGTAAATAAATAACGTGTTGTCGTGCCATTAGCACCAGGCTGAGCTACTGTAAAGGTCATTATTCGGCTAATCATTTTAACGCTTCCGTTCACACTATATAGATAACTGATAAGTTCATCGAATGCTCCACTGCGATGTTCAACCCCATGTTTGTATCGATCAATTGCTATCATATAATATTTCTGTTCATTTTTTTTATACTTATGTGTACACTTAATTAGTTGTAATTATAAGGCTTTACAAAAATTTTCGCTTGTTTGATTTAATTGTTTATTTACTCATTACTTTTTGTCTATTACTTATTTTCCTCCAATCATCTATTTATGATTTATTCATTTTTTAATTAACTAATTGTCGATATATTTTATTTAATTAATTAATTTATTTTAGATAAATATCATTATTGCCATTTCTTTTCAGGATTATATTTAAAAAAGATGAGACCCTGGGATTTTACTCGTCATCCCGGTTCAACTATGAACCGCTTTTAATAGAGCATTTTTCTTCAATGACTAAACAAGAGAAAGAAGTGGAAGCAAGGATAAAAGAGAAACAAGAGAATGAATGTACGGAAAACAGGCCATGCTATCGATTGCTTTCATATAACACCTTCAGTTTCGCTTTCAAATATTGCAAGTGTAGAGCTCTGGTGCACGCTGCATGTAAATAGCAGTACTTAATGATGGTGCACTTCTGATACCTTGCAGTTTTGCACTTTGAGCCTTACACTTAGCACTACAAGAATTATATGAGAAGTACCAAAAACATTGGCGTATAAATCATCGATATGTGCAAAGGTGATTGCTGTTAACTAAAATGAGATGTAACGCATTTCACGTTTCATCGCGTCATTCACGTCGTAATATTTCATTCACATTTCTTTGTAATTAGTAGCATTTATTGTTGTTTAATTTCGTTATCAATTTTTCACGTTAACCACTTCCTGTGTTCATATTTGATTTGGCTATTCTGAAAAATATATTTCAGATTTTGTGCACATCACAATATTTAACAGCGACAACATGCCTTTCCTCTTTCGTCCTCTGGTAACTTTTTGTAAGTTTAGCTGGGAAGAACTATTAATGCTATATAATGCATGACTACATTCAGTTCTTTGCAGCCTGACGATACAGGAATAGTGAAGAGGATGTACGACAAATTTATGAAAAATCCGGCTGTTCCGGTTCTTGCATGCGTTGCTCTCCACACGGCATTTTCCATTGCTCGTAGGCGTTTCGTGAAAAGCATGTCGCAGGCTGAATTCAACCGGTAAACGAGTAATTATTGATTCTTTTCTAGTAATCTTCCAAATCATTGATCTCGATTGGAGAACTTGTATTGATTTCCTGTTTCTCAGAACATTTTAAATTAGTGAAATCTTGAGTCATTTGGAATGGCGAGTTTGATTTGCTTGACTAGATTCCTCAAAAGTGTTTGTGGCAATCTTTGACGTGTAAAAAATATGACGCATACAATATATCTGTGTTTCAAATCGAAGTTTATTCATTTAGATCTATTGCTTTGGTACCACTGACGGCGTTTGCTGGTACAGCTGTCTGGTACCATGGTACTTCAATCAGGGATCAACAGTACATCCGTCCTGACAAATAAACAGAATACAAAGTGGCATAAAGCGATAGTCTGATAAAAGACACAGCGACAATGCATAAGCATTAACGATTTTTGTCATGTTTTCTTTTTTTAATATATAATTTTAGAATACCTTGTAGATAACGTGTAAAATAAAGCATTATTTGATGTACTTTTGAGGGAATCAAGTGATGTGCCGCAGACTTTTCCTTTCCTTCAAGTACGTTTGGACGTTGCGGACGTGTCGGCTAGCATCCAAAAGCAAGCGCATGGATTCTGCCATATTCCTGTCCACTTATGTATTTTTGCCCTGCTTTAAGTTTCTTCTCGAAATGAGATTTTCGATTTTTTTTTCAATGTAATTTCAATTTTCTTACTGCTGAAAGATATCTGAGCAGGTTATTCCAAGTTTTAGGTGATTTTACAGCTTCCTTTTGCTACGGACGGGGATTATTATACACCAAGGATTACTGTACACCCCTTCATGTATTCCACGTTAAGACAGCGGGACATATTATGACTAACAATTCTCATTAAGTTAAATTAACAGTTCTTTCAAGTCCCTGTAACCAAGAGATCACATCGTATAAAATTTAAAAAAAAAAAAAGGAATAATTAAAGAAAAAGTATGGAGAAATCATTTACAATAAGTGCTCAAATGACCTTTGACGTACAGCCTACGTTAGCCTTTCGATCTGTCGCAACCATTTGCAATATCTGCCATTAGTCTCAGCCAAAACCAATCCAACTCAACTCAAATGCAAAGAATATTTTCCATTACTATGGTTCTCTGTCTATTTCATCAATGAACGAGACGAATTTCGCTGTTTGCAAAAATCGATAAGAGACAGTGTTAGATGGACCCTATGAGAGAGCTGCCATACCTCTCTGACACTTCAAACTTCGTTTTCTCATCTCTCAACGTTGTATTTGATCAATGCGACATTTGTTGTGGACAGTGAAGATTATTAGATCCTTATAAAAGATATGTCTTGTTGATTAAGGTCGTCACTTCCGTATTCTCATAAACACTCATTTGACATAAGCTATTCCTCGGGGAAACTGCCCAACTAAGCTTTTCAATGTTGTTATGCATATCATCATTTTCTGATTTATTTTCCGGTCGGGAGAAAATTAAGTAGCAAAGGATTAGTCTCTCTATTTCCTCGTCATACTTGCGTGATATTTATTTAGTCAAGTTTAAAAGACAACGTTCAGATTGGCTGAGCATTTTGAGGACAAACTATTCAACTAAGCTTTTCAGAAAGCCCATTTAGAGGATAGGTTTTGAAATGTAGTGTTGATTTTGTAAATTCAGCCTGCTTTCTGGATATTTGTTCCAGATGAGGGAAGTAAATGTTTATTTTCCCATTATCCTTTCGTTCAGTAGTAACAGTACTTACGCTCTCGATTTCCTGCTTGTCCACTGTACTTGACCGGATCTCAGTCAAATACAAGTCTGATCCGATACTGAAAATTTTCAGGACATTAACATCTTCGTTCATTGCAGGAGAGTATACTGGTCATGACGTAGAATTTACTGATAGGATAGAACTTAGCTGATAGGACATTCGTATATTTGAGTAGAGGATAGGTTATGATATGTAGTGTAAAACTTTCAACAAATATTTCCCATTCTGGATCGGTCAGTAACACTGAACTGATCCTCTAATGTTGGCTACACTTTTTCTGGCTTTGAATTATCGTCGATCGTATGAGGAAACTTTGGCTGATACATAATATAATGCTAATTTGCAGTTGACAGAGGATGAATCTGATTAGAAAGGCGTTAATGACTTCAGCGACAATGCAAAAGGTTAGTGCGTTGGGATTAATCGGCGTAAACTAATCGGAAAAGGATCTTATTCAGATCGCACAATTAAAATTTTCCGTAACTTTACATGTGTTCAAAGAATTGTGATTTTACAATAGCACGTATCTTGGGACAAAGCGAGCTTCATTCCTTTTGTGCTTATGAATGTCATGCTTTTTCAGACGAAGGATTACGATCCAGGATTTGTCGGCATGAATGTAAGCATGGTTTGAAATCAAAAGCTTTGATCAAGGAATTTATTTATGGGTTTCGCTTCACGCACTGTCTTAATAATAGAATTGGTGGTGACAGACTTCAATGTTAATAGGATATCATTGATAAGAACTGGTGTAATAATAATGTTATCGTTATAATAGATGAATATTGAGAGCAGTGATAATTCAACAATTTTTTGCTACGATTCGACATTCCTTTCTACTAGATCAAAATGAAGATGACGCAATAGCAATTAGCATAGTGTTTCAGTCGTTTCAAAATTGTAAAAGAAGGACTCTGACCTTCGTCGGATTGTGTAGTATTGGCATTGATGATAACAGTTATAATTTCGTTGCAGCTACAACAACAAGAAATGAAACGACATCGCGATTGGCTAAAAAATCCGGTATTTCTATCGGGTACTTTGCTAGCCTGGATAGCCTTGATGGGGTATCTGAAGCCACACAGTGAAAGAGTTTCATTCGCGGAACACAGGTAATATTGATCACTTTGGTTCAAAATGTGATTTCACAGTAAACTGAATGATTAAATGAAGGATACGCATCTAATCAACTTCTAATTTTTAAGTTCCACTTTGATGCTTGTATAGATGTATTTGGCAAGCCATATAGCAGTGACATATAGTGTTATTGATGAATTTCTTCTTCGTCCTTATTCTATTTTCATTCGTTTTCAAACTACAATACTCAATGAGAAAAAGTATTAAAGATTTTTCCAACGATTCGTTGAGTTGTGATGTATTAGAAGGACTTCATGGGTCCCTTTTTCTTTTTAATCTTTGCTCATTGTTGTGGGATTGGTTCTCGTTTTCCTCAATAATTAGCTGATAGACACTTTCTGAGCTGACCATTATCCGATCATACTTCAAACCATAGAGTTCGAAAAATCTGCTATAAATTATTATTTGGCTGCCTAGTAATCTTATTATAACTATGCATATACTAAAAAGATATCTAAATCTTTTTTCTTTATCCCTGGAATTCTCTTTTTTCCTTTTTTTTTTCGCACTGGTCCAAAATATTACTCGAAATATTCTGGTATATTTGTTTCGCCTCTAAATTTTTAATTTTTCTCATCAATAGATTAAAACAACTGAAAATTATTATGTTTGCCATCACTAAAGCGATAACTGGAGCAATTTTTCATTATTACAATCACATGCGACTATTAATTAATTTGTTCAGATTTCGAATATTCCTGCAAGGATCGTCATTCGTCTTTGTACTTACATGCGCCACAATAGCTCGATACTACCAACGAATAAAGGAAACCAACTGATACATTTTCCGAATCGAATAATCTTTCATTATTGTCTTCTAGAGAAAAGCTATCAAAATTGCGACGCAATAACTGGTCAGAAAAAGAAAAAAGATTATTATTGTCGAAAAATTTTTCTGGAATCCTTTACTGCTTCAATACGGTACATTAACTTTCCATTGCATAAGTTATATATATATCCCATTTTGACAAGTCTAAATTTCTCCAACGAACAGTATACAAGAATAAAATAAACACTGGGTAAACGAAGAAACCTGCTGTGGGAATTTAAAATAGTGCCTGAAGCCAGTGATGACTTTTTATCAATCCCTATTTTCGAGGAGGATTTCCATTTACTTAGAATTAAGTAGCATCATGAAACTTGATTATTTTCATTTTAATTCCTATTATCTCATTGTATAGCAATAGACAGAACATGCATGCACGTGGTGAACGTTTGTTTACGTGTAACTATAGATACGGAAATGTAATTTAAGCATGCACAAACTCACACAGATTATGCATCTAAGGACATATGTAACAAACGAATCTTTATAGTTGTAGTAACAGGAATGTGATTTCAAACTGCATTAATTTGTATCGGTCATTTTTGTTTCCCTTATAAAATGTTTCATTTAAAAGCAAGTTGTAGCATTCGAAAATATTATCCCCGAATAAATAATTTCTCGTCTTAAACAATCAACATAAAAGCAGAAACTTCCAAAGTTTAGTTTTTTTCTCTGCTTTGCGTCGCTTTCTAATGCCTCGGCCGTAAAATCTAGGAGCTCCTGGTGTTGGTCTTGTCCGTTTTTTTCTAAGCGTATGGCGAAGGTTTTTGGAGAGTGTAATACTTCTTTACGTGGCTTTTTTATATCTTTACCCTGCGATCTAATCAGATTTAGATGGTGTTACAGAAAACTTATGCTTACTTTACAGAGAAATATGGTAATAAGAACTCTGCGCAAAGTGTATATGGCCACCACATCGGTTAGTCCACTTTCTTCTTATCCGTTTTTTTAATAACATCACCACAATATAGAAATCCAGGGAGCTGATATTGCCTGTTGCCATCACCGAAAAGTATCTCTTCTCTGTTACCAAAGTTACGTTGAGAGAGTTAGTTGAGTTATCTGAACATGGAGGCCCAGCAGTTAATTTGAATTAGTGCGTCGAATCAAATTATGCGATTCGTGAGAAACTGGATAGGATCTAAGGTACGGGAATGGAAGGACTTCCTTCTGAAGTCAATGAATTTCGAAAAATGCTCGCGTTGTCGTTTTGGTTTACATGACCATGAACAAATGAAGTATGAGTAAGTGTTGTTCTTCGAGACTTGTGGGTTCTTTCGGACGGAAAATTCCAAACTTCTCTCTTTTCCATTTGAATCATTTATGAAGATAAAAATGGTAGGTGAAAAGAAATCATCTTCCAGTATCCAGTTGATACCATTTGGAGAAACGGAAAAAATAGTACCATGGCCCAGTTAATACTATCCGAAATAAAATTAATTGTTGAATTTTTCAGGTTGGTAATTCCAGTTCTGGCGCTGTTGATACCACTGTAAGTTACTCAAATATTATCATCGACAAGTGGTATTTAGATTATCGTTAACAATTGTATTTGTTTCATCATGCATTCTCTTAGTTGCTGATTGCTGTCAGCTGGATGTTTTGATTGATACTTTGTTATCATCATTGTTGGTATTCATGGGAGACATGCAGATTGAAAGTTTGGAATGGTTATTTTCATTTCTATCATCGATCGCTTTACTCTTTCTTTTTTCAGATAGATTATAAAATGTTGAAAAAGCGACATGATTTATTGAAGAATCCTTTTGTTCTCGCTGGAATTGTACTACCATGGATTGCTTTGCATGGCTTTTTGAAGCCTCATTCAGAAAGAATATCGTTCGCCGAGCACAGGTCAGAATAACTTACAACCCTTGTATTTCCTTCAATTTGCAGTACACTTAATGCATTATAAGGCTCTCGCTATAGCTAGATTTCTTTTTGATTGGTGGACTTTTGTGACGGCATGTCTATGTATCAAAATTCTTTTATGGAGCTACTTTTTAAAAATTCCCCTTCGAAAACATGGTCATCCTTTTACCCATTATGTATAAGAGTAGTAATCACAATACTCGAATGTTTTAGTGGATAGCAACGTTTGACCAGTCTCAAGCTGAAATGGTAAGGCATGATATCCAGTAGTTTTGGCGATAAAATATATATTTCAGATTTCGCATCTTCCTACAGTTCTGTACATTTATTACAGTCTTTTCGGTGGCGACAATGATGCGAAGAAATAAATCGAGACACTGAGGAAAATGTGTATAGAAGTGGTTGAACTAATGAGGGAAGTACTATTGACATTCACTATTAACATTGAATACTGCCAATATCTTCTAGCTTTTCAGAGATTTTTCTCGTTAAGAATACCATTATAACACGTCCTCATAGTATTTATTGAATTTCTAGATTTTAAAGTGGGATTTAAGCACATGTAAAAGCGCGGTTGTAATATTTTGTCTCATTGTAAGTACTGATTCAAGTTTATTTCTGAACTGGCATTTCTGAACCACATCTTTCGAACCACAACCTTTATTTCTGAACCACATCTTTCGACCATATTTCTTGCTGATCTCTAAATGATCATTGATCTCTCCATTTCTTCTTTTTACCGTCATTATTGATTTGATATTTTCTGTTATTTCTGTCAGTTTTGTTGGGAATCTCTTGCCTTGAGATAGTTGTAGTCAAATACTAATTACTTGTTCGGGTACTTGTTTGTTTTTTTGTTTTTGTATTCCGTGATGATATATTTGCTGTGCTTACTTCTGCCTCTGTCGGATTATTATTTATGCAATATTTATTACTTGATATTCTTGAATAGTAAAAATATTTATTTTTAATGTTGCTTTAACAGTGGTCATTCAGTCCAAGCATAATGTTTAAGGTCTGCGTTTGTAGATCTCAATAAACTATGTATGAATGCAGAGTATTGCAGTGGTTTTTGTTCTTTACAACGAAGGGATAATGCCAGGTAATCAGCCGGATGATACAACTGATGAAGATGCGACCGAATTGAAATTCCCGAAAGGTTTGTTTTCTTGTTTAGTGTATTGTGTAATTTGTTTTACTACTCGGCATTAAAGGTAAAGGCAGCAAAAGCAGAGAGATAGATGCTTTTGTTTTTACCGTAAACCAATATACTCGGCTTCTATTCCCCGAGATTAACAGCAGCTTCTTATGTTTAAATTAATTATCCCTATTTTCAGAATTTGAACAAGCCGATACTTTGTTAACATCGGAAGTGTACTTACTGTTAGAACATCGACGCCAACAAAGTGAGCAGAAGGTAAAATCTGTTGGTCAGATTACGAGCTCAAACGAATTTTTTAATTTGAACCACTACTACTTTCAGCCAAAGCTGACGTGTACCGTGAAGCTGTTTTGTACACAAACAAAATTAGTATAATTTTAGGTTCTTACGTAGGGCAGTAATTTAATTCAAGCAATCATATTAGAACTTCAGTTGACAGATGGTAGACGGATGATTTGATGTTATCATCTTGATTTCGTGCCATAATTCAAAGTTTTATGCGTTCTTGCAGGTGCTATTAAAATTGTTACTTTTTATGAGATCGTTTATATCTTGTCGTTTATATCTCGTTTATACCAATTTTCATGTTTGACGTTTCATCACGTAATTGCATTAGTTGAATAAATTTTGTTTCTTGGACTATATTACTTTTTGTAACGTTTGTGATTGGTGTTTATGATCGAATATGTTTGAGGTGAGTCCAATGCTGATGTTCGGGAAATCTTCTTTATTAGTAATGGAAGAAATTATATTTTCAGGAGGAAATTGACGAGATGAGTGATGTTTTCGTGAAAACTTTAAATTATACGCGACGAATGGCACGGTTTAAAAATAGGGAAACGATTCGAGCTGTTAGAACGTAAGCGTTAAATTTTACATCTGAAGGGAATGTGTTTCCGATAAACTTTTTGTCACGTCGTTAAAATCAAAACTTGTTCTTCAGTAACATTGATTGCAGTTTGCTGGCAACGAAACCGCTGCATAAATTTGAGGTTGCACAGATTGCTAACCTGTGTCCAGAAACATCTGAGGAAGCAAAAGCTTTAATTCCCAGGTTTTTGGATTTTTTTCTCTCATTTTTTCCTTATTCAAATATATCATCTTCATGTCACGTATCTTATTACTAAGGTCATTTGAAACATTATGGCTGTTAACTGTTATTATCAGCAAACTACTTGTTTAGCTTGGAAAACAAAATGGAGGATGACGAGCTGGACGAGGTGCTAAAAGATTTGCATAGCAAAAAAACGTTTCAATAATTATTACTTGGGACAAGTGCACTTTTTCTGTACATTATCAAGAAATGTTTTGTTGATGCTGTTAAATGGTCAAGAAAGAGAAGGAAATAAAAACCTTCCTAGCATATAAATATTTCGGCAATATGTTGTCGTGGAACAATAAAAATCGATTTGGAATTTTAATAATTACCTTTTTATTAGCCTCATCAATAACTTCTATCTGCAGGAACGTTGATCGCTGTCAGTTTTGTTGATTATTGCGGATTTCTAGATACTCGGCTTTTTCATTGGAAATTTCATAGAAAATCGGAATCCAAATGACTCGGGAATATTCGAATTACTGAAGATTTTAGAAGAGTTAGATGTAATGACATGGAAATTATTCACAAGAAACAGAACTTTACAGAAAGTCATTTTCATTCTCGAAACAAAGTTTCCAAGTGGATATTTAACAATTTCATTTTTCATGAAATCAAATGACGAAATGATAGTTCTCCCAAAACACGAAATATGAGAAGTCATATGTATTAGAATGGAAAAAACTGCGAACGAGCAAATGAAGCCGGGAAAGGAAATGGCCGAATTCATGAAAAAAGAGGATTAGTGATATACAAATATAAATGAACCAATGGTGAAGCCAAAGAATGGAGAAAAGAAAGAGGAAAAATGAACGAAACGAATGAATAGATATCAAAGTATTTCATTTGTCTTTCAATACGAAGTGAAAACTAATTATTTGAAGATGAAATGCTTCATTTTGCAACTGTCTACAATTGAAATTAGTACCAAACCATCTAAACAAAATGAGTAGATAAGCCGAACTTAAAATGAACTTCGGAGCGGGAGGAAAGTACCGCGGGGTAGAGGGCTGTAACGTTTTATCTTCATTCTCACTGTTTAGTATTTGAACCGAACAAGGCTTTAAGTATGAATTACTTAGAAATTGAGGTGTTCAAATTTCTTTCTTTTTAAGGTTGAAATTTTTATTGATTGCTTATTTCTTTCACTGAAAACTGGTTGGATTTAAATAGCTTAATGATTTCATATATCTTTATAAACTTATGGAAGGGAAAGTTAATGCTTTCGAAATTTAGCATTTTATTGTGTCGAAGTCATATTGAATGTTGAATGGATCAAGAAAACATGAATGTATTTCCTGAATAAATTCATGAATGAATTTATTTATAATTCTGCGATGCCGAATCACTGTCCATTTACTATAACCACGTAACCACGTCTGGATTACGAAAAGTGAAAGAACACGTTGTATAGCCGTAAGCGAGAATGATTCCAATTCATCCATTCCACTTATAGACGGAATCATTTGTTGTTGAATAGCGGCTCTTACATGGAAATGCAGCATGGCTATTATCCATTTCAAATGTGATATGATATCATTCATCTTTTCTAATAATATTTGCTGAGATTTTTATCAGCTATCAATTGTCAGTTAAAACCTTTCTTTGGAATGATCCTGGAATTTAAATCCCTACAATTTCAAGAAATCTAATTACTGCATTATTATACATTCTACATATATACGTTTATTCCTTATGCAACACTTGAAAATTTTGTTAGAGGAAAGCAATCTATGGGATGGACGTACACTTCAACGACTGTTTGTTCAGGGAAATAAAGAGGTTGGAATAATTGTTATAAATGATACAAATGGAAGGAAAATAACTTTATGCATGTTGAGCAATAGTGTTGAACCGAATGACATCATGAAGGATGTTATCCAAGAGCTATCAATTAAATCTAATTTTTAGCTTTTAGGACGCTTTTTTAGGTCTTTAATTTAATAAAGTCAGTGGTTACCATCTGGTGAAGTACCACTAATGGGACTTCACTCTGTGGATGCATTAACTTGATATTTTTCAAGTTTAACAATTAATTATTGCTCTTTTAACTAAGAGTAACTCGAGACAGAATTTCAATTTGAGCTGAAACGAGAGATAATAACACAAAAGATCTAATATTTGCATAAATGGAAACTGATGGATTTCTGACGTTAGGTGTAAGTGTTTGATGAAATATTTAATTTGTGAAGTATTAAATAATTCTCGTTCGTTGATCCAATATTATGTACTTACTGATTTTTGCATTGTCATGAAAATCTTCGTTTTCAATTTTAGCTAATTGATAATTAAAGCATATCGGTTTATTTTCGATATTCGTCCTCATTCATTGTTGGACATCTTAATCACACTTCACTTACTCATATTTCGATGCTAATGACACCTTTTTTTTAAAAGTTTATTTCCCTTTAGTTTCTAAGAAAAACAAAACTTATGCTGTTTTTCTGTTTGAAATTTCTAATTTGAATAATGTACTAAATTAGTAAGGTTATTTTAAAAAATTCGCACACTTCTAAAATGTTTTAAAATCTTCTAAAATGTTTTACTGAATTACTTAATTAGCATATTTAGCATTAAATTGCGAAAGCAACAAAATGGATGACTATAAAAGGGTAGTTAAAGTTTCTATAATCAATGTTTACAATTAAATGTCCTGGTGGTTCTTCCAGTCCAATCTCTTTTGGTTATGTACACTAGGTGTTGCACTCTTCACAAATGATACAATTTGTAATGATGGTATAGTTTGAAATTTAAATATTGGAATACATGAATGAACAACAATGAAAATCTGCTGAGTAATAAATAAGCGATGAAATGAATTAATTAACTATAAATGATATTTTAACCATACGAGAATCTTAAGATTTTATTTTTTTTTATTACAGTTATTTCAATCATGAGAAAATAATGATAAAACGATTAATGTTGTATTGCAGAATGAGAAGAAAAGCAATTTCGCGCTATTTTCAGTAGGAAAATACAGAATTGATGAATATAGTAATTAATTCGTTTTCAGGGCAATGTGACAATTCACTACAACAAATACTGGTGACTTCATTTCCACGTAGAAAACGATCTTCCCTTTGTAATGATCCACCGAAGGTTTTAAAGGCTTATTAGTAGTTTGCAAACTAAGCGTGACAATTTGTAAATAAATATTGCAAAAAACACACAAGAAAAAAAAAAAGGTTACACAAAGCATATTATTACTTGTAAAACAATAATGGTGACATATTTATTAGCGTGCGATTATTAAAATACATACATATATATGCCATACATATATATGCCAAAGTACAAAAACGAGTTCTTTCAATTCTTTTTTAAGGGCTTTCATTTTTGCTATTATTCTGTGCGTATCATGGAAGAGTACTGGAATTTAAAACGTGAATTTGATACTGATAATAGAGAAATGATTCAAAATTGCATGAAAACTACTAATTATACGTATGGATTCACATATCAAATCGATCTATCTGAGAGAACATATATGTATGCTTTTGTATATATATTTGTTCAAATTAATTTAAATTTAGTAATGTTACGAAAAGAACTTACAAATTAGCAAGAAAAAAAGAAAATTCTCCTCAATAAGTTTTTTTCCTTCAATTGTAAAAAACTTCAATTGAGTCAACAATTTGAAATTCATTTTGAACATTGATAATTGGTTTAAATGAGAACAATATGCAGTAATGATCAAAGAATGAAGATGAAACATTTGGTAGATATCTTTTATTATTGCTGCAAGGATTGCTCATCCATTAATGTTTGTTTATTTTTATATATTATACTGTTATACATAGTGAAATAAATTGCCCAACTTTATAATCAAAATTAATGTCATTAATAAATTATGACTTTATTAGGAGATGAATGATGAAGAAATTGTTAATTTTATTGGTAATTTATTGTTGAAAAATTTGCCGAAACCGAGTAATGGTACATATAACTATGTTCCTGGCAAATCACTTCCGTATTGTTTATTGGAGGATGGTGCACTTGCAGTAATTCCTTTTTTTTTTACGATTTATTCTACTTATTGATATATGGAAAGTGAATTTTTACAAATTGGAAAAATAATAGAATACTTCTAGTAACTAATTAACAATTACTGCAACAACAAATGCACTTATCTTTTTTATTATTTCCTTTTTCAGATATCCACTTATCAATGGCCTCTCTTTCTTTATCCCCTAATTTTTTGTTTTCACTTTCTTAGTAAGATATTTGCAAATAAGTGATAAAAACTTTGAATTTTATGCAAATATTTTTTTGGACGAAAGTAGTTGGTATTAATCATTGTGTATTATTGTTGGATTCGTGTTCAATGACTAAAATTTATGTGGGACCATTGTTGGCATCAAAATTTGATCAATTATCACAATCTACTCAACGGATAAATGTTCGTTTTAAAATGAATTTCAATGAAAATTTTTTTCTTTGATATATGCATAAGCATATTTTGAGTTAAAACATTTGCTTTCATTTAAATTTTATCAATTAAATTAGCGTGTCTTTTCCTGATTTATAAAGTACAATTTATTTTTTTTTAAACATTCAAATTTTAATAAACAATTGTTTAAAGAAATCATTAGCGGATGCTGTTTCAATGAATTTTACGGATATATGCCCTAAATCAGAATGTATATATTATCTGTCCCCATTGGAATTTTTCTTTTATTGTTGCTGCGATATGAATTATATGCTTTGTGCTTATACCAGCGATGAAAAATTACTTTCATATGCTAGCATAAATGCGAAAACTTGGATGAACAATCTCGCGATACGATCATTTAAAGAATCTCTAATATATGACGTTGCAACTGATACATTCATGCCAATTTTCGGTAGACAATGGACGTATCGCAAATATGTCTATAGCAGACCAACAGGTGACTATCAAAAATGATGACAATTAGGACTACAGAAATTAGAATAAAATTGTTTAATCTAAAAAAAAAGAAAGGAAAAATAATAATAAATAACAATTTGGAAGAGGAGAAAAAAATGCTTTACGTGAAAAGCTTGAATCTTTACGGAAAAATGATTCATAAATAATCTTATTTCAGTTGATGAGCACACAGGAAATTTGACATCATCTGGAATTAATATACCTTTACATCTCTGTGCATTTGGTAGTTTTAATTTAACTATCGGTAATTGGGAAGACGAAGATTTTATGATGAAAATAGGAAAACGTGAAATGTTAGCAGAACCTCAAAAATTCTGTTACTACATGCCATCTTTACAATTTACAGAAACCGATCGAAATCCACCAACATCGTTGGTTTTTTTTTTCTCGATTATGTAAATTCTAGATTTTTGTTTAAGGTTAAATTTGCATTAAAAGTAAAACAATTTTAATTATACTGTAATATGGCAGATTATTTTATCATCATATGATTTAGTTTGAGCATTAAATAATACAGTATGTTATCGAATAATTTTTTGAAGATTAAAGATGAGTTATGGAAGTGATACAGAAGAAATATGCAAAAAAGAAGGATGTACTATTGAAGGACCAAGTTGCTTGCAAGATTTAATTTCGCTAGATCATGTGGTCGTCACATTTAGATGTTGTTGTAATAAGGACGATTTATGCAATCATTTAGGAAATAAATACTTTGAAATAACTGATGAACTTATCAGTGCCACGTAAGTTCGTTAAAATTGTATGTTAAATGGAACAAATAATAACACAAGTGAATGTTAGGAGAAAAAATTCTAGCAATAATTACCTTTCGAAGTGAAATATTCGGAAGTGCTGTCTTTCGAATTGAATAATATCTGACATTATAAACAAATGATAAAAAATTTCTTCATTTCTCAATTTAAACCATTTACGCAAATATTTCTTCGATATCTTTGCTTCTTTTACTTTATCATATAAATTTCTGATATCTTTTTTCTTAAATAGCTCAATAGTCAAATGATTTTTTCTATGCATCCCAAAAAATTATATTACCTTGCTCTAAAATGAATAATTTTTATCATTGAATGATGTCAAAGTCAATATGTTTTATGCTATTTATAATTTAAAAATTCAAAAAAAGTAAGCTGTACATTTATTTTTACATTTAAAAAATCAAAGAAGAAGAGTTCAAAAACCAATAAACGAAATTTCGGTCAAAATTTTACTTGAAATATTTTATTTTTAGCATAAAATATTTATTAGGAAAATTTGCAGGCATATTTTCCCGTGCATAAGTCAATCATATTCTTATTTAAATATTTATTTCAATCGTAAATTCGACGAGCCTTATATCAAATGCAGTCGTTTCTTTACATTTGATACATATGATGAAGTGATGCTCATCGAGGATCATTCATTTTTTGCACCGGAAAATAAAACTCTCAGAACATTGTACGAGCAGGGAGAAAAGTTACACTTAATAGGGTAAGACACAAAATTAAAACTATTTCCATTTGATGAGTAGTAATTGATACAAATTTCATACGTATAAAGTATTATATAACTGATAATGATAATAAT